GGTTTTTTTTTTTTTTTTTGCCAATAGAAAAAAGGGGGGGGTGGCTGGGGGTTGTTTATTTATATGTTTTTAACAATTGCACCCCTTATTATTCTTGGTCACAGAGGCTTTGCATCTTTCCTGATTTGGAACATGTTTGGAATATAATTAACTTGGTTTTACTGGTTTTAATACGGAGAAATATTTTACGATAGTGCCTCTAGTTAGTGTTTTGTTGGATCGTCTATTATGGCAGCCACTATTATATTCCAAAGCAAATGTGAGCAATATTTATTGGTGGTTCTTACTGTGCTGTGCTGTGTAACACATTTTTTTTTCAATGTTATTGATAGTCCAAAAGTATCTAATTGCTTCTTTTATAGATTATACCGGAGGTTTCTGTTGTCTTCTGTCTGTTGTTGTGATATAATGCTTGCAGACATCTCTTGTTGTAATAGAATGAATTTAAGTGCATCCATGTTGTAGCATCCAAACAAATTTCCCTCAGGGATAATACATATCATCCTATATCCCATGGACACTGTGAGCCCTGGGCAGCTTGCCACATATAGCAGCAATAGCTTAACATAAAGTAAATGCAATCGATAATAATGCTCCACTTTGATTGAGAGAAACGACTTCATTTAATGTGTTCTTTATTGTTGTGGTTATTTATAACTGCATTGCATCATATTGGGAAGCGTTATATATTCACCGCCTATACACACTTATTTTAATTTAGCGAATAATGTGTTAAATTATTCTTTTCAATTCTATGTATAATTATTCAACACATCTTGGAAAAACACAGCCATTCGGCATGCTTGGACATTTCGATATTGTACGAATAATTCATTCTCTTTTCCTCTCCGTAAGGCGACATTGGGGTTTCCATCCAAATGTTTGGAAATTGATGAATCAAGTTAGTGAAAATGCAAAAAAAGAAACATGCAACTTATACACATTTCCATTTGTTCTTATTTTGTGATTATTGAGAGGTGAATGTCCCATGAGTTGACAACATTTAAGCGCATCTCTCTGCTGCAAGACACTAGGGCTGACTGTCAACAAAAGTCGTAATGGACAAATTGCTCAACGCTGTTCGCAATTGTGTCAGCATTCAGAGCAGACGGAGCACAAAGGAAATGGCAAAGAAGACTGTTTGTTCAGAGTACTGTCACCGTGTCATTCTCCGTGTGTCGGGGAATGCAAGCGCACTCCCGCATTAATGTGCCACTGTGCTACCAACAGCATATCCACGGCTAATACTTGCTTGTTTGAACTTCCAAGCGATTTTAGAACTGCAAACTCCCCCTTTAAAATTAATCCTAGGTATAATTATACGACAGCGAATGTTGCTTTTCTATATTATCAACTCTGGACTGTGATAAATTGGTACTGATGCTATTTGAGCCTCCCACGTGGTCCAATGGGGAGAAAGGGCATAAATCTCCCAATAACACACACTGTATTTATAACATTCCCATCAATCAAGTTGTAATTAAAAGTTGAAGTGACTGGGTTACATTTATAATGGTGGCCATGTGTAGCGTTGAGCCAAATTCCCAGCAGCAATAGAAAAAAAAAAATGGATGTGGTGCATGTGTGTGAATATGATCATTAACCAGAGGGAGGCTCCTTCATCTCCTGCATTCAAATGACACTTATAATCTCACTGGTGCTTTTTACTCCTCGATCCCTCACTGTGCCTTTCCATCTACGTATAGACGTCCTCATAATTCATTGTAGAATTATTTTCATGGACAACTCTACAGGTTCATTTCACCTTCAGTCCTTAACAAATGTATTAGAATCTCCGTCCAGCCACCCATTTTCTATCATCCTTACTCTGGAGCCTAACGTGGTTGACTTTAAGTGAGAAGTGGGGTACACCCTAGACTGGTCGCCAGTCTATGACAAGGGCACATCAAGACCAACAGCCATTCACATTCACACCTCTAGATTGGTCGACAGGACCGGATTAATAATAATAATAATACATTACATTTATAAGCACCTTTCAAAACACTCAAGGACACTTTACAATCAAAACAAGAACAATAAAACCACAGATAAAATTATAACTAATAAAAGGAGAGATGAATTTAAACTGAATTTAGCGACTCGAAATAGTTGACGCCGGCAACATCGCC